ATCCCAGAGCAGAGGGCAGCACGAAGGGCCCGGGCTGCCCAGCAGCCACCGCAGAGCACAGGAGCCGCCCTTCCGCTCGTTTGGGAACACCACTCTCTCCACGGGAGAGACGAAGGTCGTTAGGGGGAGGATACGGGGAGATGCAAAGCCTTCGTGGTTCGTTATACCTCTTCGCAAAGGAAGCAGCTTGTTCTCCAGCACATCCCTGGCATCCGTGCCTTCATCCATCAGATCCAGCTTGGTGATGACTCCAATCGTCCGCAAGCCTGAAGCGGCCACACAAACGAGCAATCGGTTCATCTCGCAAATGAGCAATCGGTCAACCTTGCTTCACGGAACGCACCAAAAGGAGGGCAGGCGGGTGCGTAACCATGGCAAACACGGAGGCGCCAGCCAGGAGTGGAACCGCTGGCCCTTCCCCAACCATCAGAGGATGGAGAGTCCTCTGTGAGAAGCGAGGAGCGATGAGAAGCCCCTCCGGTGCCAAAATCGGGAAACTGACGGCTGAGACTCTGCAGCGACAGCCGCTGAAGACTTTATCGCTCCACAGCTGGGCTGGGGCAGCGGCACGGGCAGAGACAGGCAGGAGGACGCAACCGTCTTACCTTGAGGATCAACTTCTTTCGCCATCTTGAGCGCGTCTGAGTTGGCCAGGTCCATGTTCGCCGGCGTGACAGCCAGGATCAAGCTGCTCTCCCTGCTGATGAACTGCAGGATCATGTCTTTGATCTGGTACTCGATGTCCTGCGGTTGGTCCCCCACCGGCACTTTGGTGATACCCGGCAGGTCGATCAGAGTCAGGTTCAACACTGAACGGACAGAGAGAACCCGCGTTTGGGGTGAAGGGCCCGGCGTTGGGAGCGGTCGGTCTCGCAGCTGGATCTCTTCAGAGCTGCTGACAGATCCACCCCTCCGCAAGCCTAAAGATCCCCTCTGAAGGAACAGCGACCACTGTGTCTGCTCGGGGGGTGGCCCAGGCGGCCCCCCTCGACCCCCAGGCCAGCAG